GGTGGAGGGAGGGTGTTATTGGTGAATCTTCTCTTTCTGAGTTTAATACTTATGGGTACTTTAGTAATTTTGGATAACAACGTGAGGATATTTTAGTAATTTTGACAGGTCCGTTAGTGTGTTTAACTGTCCGTCACACATAAGAAAAGTCCGTGTAAAATATTTTCATTAGTAGTAGAGGTCCAAGTAAATTTTCAAACCAGATGGGAGGTTCGTGTAATTATGACAAACCATAGAGGAGGTTTATGTAAATTAACCGAATAAAAGTGGTACTTTCATGCCCAAAATAAAGGTGGTACCTGATGCACAAAAAGTGGTACATCAATGCACAAAAAGTGGTACTTATGTGAATAAAAATTGTACCTCAGTGAGGGTAAATAGTATTTTTTCATGTCCAAGTCAGCATTTTGGTCAACTTCATTTTTTTGAAACTATGGGACTTTGACTCCATTAAATGGTAAATATGAATAATTAGCACCACTTATATGTAACAATCCCATAAAAAAATAATTAAATAATAATATAAGAAAAAATATATATATATGGATTAGAGAGACAAATTAAATGAGATCCAGATGACTCGATAGTAGAGTGGGTTAATTCCTCCCGTGAATTTTGGAGTGCTATATTCCGATTTACTAATCTAACTTCTAATACTTCTTACCTTATAAAATAAAAAATTAAATGAGGTTATTGCATTTATTTGGAAAAATATAGTTGAGAGGAAATAATAGAAATGTATGGTATATTACAGGGCTGGAATGAGAAAAGCAAATTTTATTTTGTTATTTAAAAACATGGATAAAACTAAGAAATCATTTTTACTCTTCTAGTCATTTTTCATTGTTTCCTACTGGTTACCAAATAATAGTTTAACAAGCAGCAATAATAATCAAACTTGTTCAACGAGCTAGTAAAGGACATCCTTCTTCTCCATAGTTATTTTATTTTCCTCTTATTTTTTTTTTAAACCAATTACGAGTATTTATTATCCTTTCATTTCTTTTATTCAAAATTTTCATTCTTCTTTCTTTTATCACTTAGGAGCCGTGTGTGAGATGAAAGTCTCATGCACTCTATGGTTAAGAATTATTGGCTATACATTGGACCATGATCAATTTATAAAGAATAAATAAATACTCTTAAAGATAAATTAATAATTTCTTATTATTTAATAAATATAATTTCAAGATTATCCTCTCGGATTATTACTTTAAGATGAAGATAATATTAAAGGGATGTGAAAGTGAAAGTTCAAGTTCAAAACTAATATGGGTTTCAACAGGTGGGGCCACAAATATTCCTAAATTCAAGTCCTCTTCCGTCTAACCCTGTAACTCCTAAAGATACATGAACAAGGATACAATGCCGTGATCATACCAGTTTCATAGCTTGTTTGCAATGTAAATATATTCCTATCTGACAAGCGAGGATATTTATAGTTCGATATTTTTTTGGTTGACATGCCCATCATGATCAACTTTGTTGTAACTTGGATTGGTGCTGATGATTGGGTACTTGTCATGTATGGAGTATATGGTACTCTAGAATTTCGTGTTATAGAAGGCATTGGAGAACACTACAGGAAAGTGCATTTGCCTGAACTGGACTGCACTTTTTTATATACAAGTCTTCCATAAATATGCTAAATCTGGATTTGGTTTTGGCATGGAACCACCAAAAATTAGCTGCAGCCAAGAAGAAAAGTCACAGAAGAGAGTTGCAAAAAGATGAATACAAATGTCACTACTTCACAACAATTTTCTTCAAATATCATATATATTAATATTCCATAAAAATCTACGTCTCAAGAACTGTTAAGCATTTCCACAACACTAGAAGCGAGACACACCACCAAATCAGTATAACTGTAACTACCTTCATATTACCAATTTTTAATTAACATCACCCAAAACCAACCATGCCCCCACAACACTATTTTTTCTTCGTCAACAGATCTTCTCCGTCGTCGTCGTCCTCCTTCTGAGAAGTCAGTCCTAGTGCAAAGACGCAGACCGGGGATCATACCAAACAAAAACCATGTACCTGCAATTTTGAACATATGTTAACGAGTGAATGAAAACTTTTGATGTTCAACACCTCCACGCTACACCCCCAACCCCCAAAACACAAATAAAAATCAGATTAAACAATCATGCTCCCCATTTCTCACTCCTAAGAAATCCCATTTTAGGTTCAAATTTATCCATGATGTATTATGAACTGGTCTAATAAATAATGCAGATCCTGTCCATGCTGTAAATAGATGCTTTACCTGATCCATTTCAAAATCCAGCTATGGGTATTTTAGCTTTCCTAGAGCAAAACAACCCCAACTCTTGAAGTCCTAAAGCAAAGCAACCCCAACTCTTACCTGGTCCAGGTCAAAGGTCTCCCCCACTCTTCCTGTTGCAACAAAATAAACTTTCTAAGCTTTCATAGACCATTTCTGAGTGCTTATCAGATCCAGAAAGTTCTCAAAAAAATAATAAGATGCTGCTCGTTCTCCCTAATGTAGAAGTGGCCATGAGGGGAAAAAACTTGATGACCTGGTTCTCATCTCACTTATTTTCCTAGCACTATTGTCTGGCTTCACTGATATGATTTATGGCTCCTTTTTTTAATCTCCGCTCCGTGACTTTTATAAAGCACCAATGCATCTCCTCAATACAGTTCGAATACAGTTCGACCTAACCAAATTAAAAACCAGCGGCTGTTCTGAAGCACTAAGCCACTAATACATGTCCTGCATCTCAATAGAGTTTGAACATGGTTCAACCTAACCATATTAGAATGACATTGATTATAAATGATGTAAATGCAGGTCATAACTTTTGGCAATAATTGTTTGCGGTGCAAAATATTGGCTATCTTATGTGACACAGATTGACTCGGAGAGCTTGGATGATGGTCTCAACCTTTACAGTTAACCTAGAAGTAAAAGAAATTCTCAATGCATATACAGACATGCAGAAACTATGATGAAAACAGGCCACTTACAATTTAAGTTTGGAATCTTGTCTGCTTATCAAATCTGATAACAAAAAAAAAAAAAAAAACCCCTTATATAGAAGGAGAACAATAAGCATCAATGGGTCGAGCTGCGAACGGAACTTATAGCCTCATAATTACATTTGAAATGGGATTTAAAAACAAATCTACACAAAATAGAATAGTACTCTTAATAGCTAAGAAGCACAGACACGGATACGACATGATGGACACGGCAAATCCTAAAAAATTAGGACACGGCAAATCCTAAAAAATTAGGACACGGACACTGGCACAGCAGTGACAGGGCGAATAATAAATATATATTTATATGCATGATTTAGTACTTTAAGAAATTAAGAGTAATGTTATTTTTTTATCAACCTGCTAATGGGAAAAATAAAAAAAATAAAAAAAAAATTGCGCTTTGCCGGGGAAAAGAGAGAAATAGAAAGAGGGTTAAGAAAGAGGAGAAAACAAAGAAACATAAATATGCAAGGGTTTGAACCTTTGAACTAAATATAAGCATAAATATCTGATTGTTTAATATAAAATTATTTTATAAAACAACAACTTTTAAGTAATTATATAATGAACATCATATTATTGAAAACTATTAAATAACTCCTCATAGTCATACTTCAGCCTAGCCTTCTTACTAAAACTTTCTTAACATCCCCAAGTGCCTTGCTTATCCAAAAAAAAAAAAAAAAAATCATGGCATGTCCAAATATTCAAAAAAATAGAAAAAATTCACACGTTTTTTGGCGTTACATGGACACGGATTCTTTGCCCTTTTAGGTGTGTCCGTGCTTCCTAGTTTAATAGCATCTGAGCGAAACAAACTGGAGGCTATCCATCATTTTAATGGACTGTGATTCCTGAATTTACCCAGCAAGATTCTAATACAAGAAGCAAAACAAAGAAGCTAGTTCACAAGTTAAAAGTTAAAACACATCAAGTAACTACTGTGATAAGAAAAGGTAATGTAGAAAGCAGAAATTGCATACCTTGAGTTGCAGCCCAAGTTAAACAAAGAAGCCATCTCTGCATATCATCCTTAGACCATATATCATTTAATCAATTTGAAGTAATCTTGTTTACTGAGCTAAATTTAAAAACATGTGCATATTTCCAACCTATGACATGTGTCTCCTACAAGGTCAGAAAAGAAACCGTATTGATACAAGAATATCACAGAACTCAGAATCCTATCTTCAATGATGTTTACATATTACCAATACACCAATGCCTACATTTCTAATGCAGTAAAGAGAACAATGCCTTGTCATATAGGCAATGAGAAGATTAATACTCATAATGAAAAGAAGAAGGGGAGGCATTTCAACTGCTCTAATAGAGTTGAGCTGCGCCCGATTTCAAGAATACAAATCAGTTAAGGCCGTGGTATATAAATTATGAAATATTTCAGAGTGGCAAACATACGAACTTCTAATCCTTCCATCAACTTCTGCAATTTCAACCATCATTATAAAAGATAATAACTAATAGTGAGTTACTGACGCGATTACTTTTCTATGTTCTCAATGTGGTTGCTGGCAGAACAGATTGTGTGGACGTGCAGCCCGGGGGGGTTGCTTATAATTCAACGCAAATAAGCAGAATATTTCAATTTGGTCTAGTTGAAAGAAGCTTTTAGTTCTCTAAAGCCCTAAACTATATAAAATTTAGGATTTAAAACTTCAGATTCCTTAGCAATTTAACAGAGACCAAAAAGAGAGGCAAAGGGAAGCAACTACAGAAAGATTTGGCAGAAAAGGATTCAAGAAGCAATAGTAACTTTATCACCGCCACAGTTGGTGCAAGCTATTAAAAGTACATCTAGTCATGGACATAGTCATACTGAGAATGGATACAATTTGAAAAAAATAAACTGAAAATGAATTCAGAATTATTTTAGTAAAAGGAAAAGATAGAGAAGAAAAAAATAATAATAATAAAGAAGATCATAAGAGAACATAAAGAAAAGGCAATTCAACACACACATGTACTCTAACAAACAGATTCTTATTTTATTTTTTTATAAAACTTAATATTTTTCTTTCAATGACTATTCTGTCCATTCTCAACTCCAAGACCATACAACACACCAGCATATTTCTCAGGTGATCCATTAAAGAAATTCTCTTTCAACTTCATGAACGTACAACAAGTAAGCAAGCTATCAGAACCAGCTTGATGACAGATGCCAATCCTCTCAACATCCAAAAGTTCAGCAAGCTTGTTCAACCCACCGTGAAGACTGTTGCAGAACCTCATCAGATGCTTGATATCATAAAGCGTTGGGAAATACATTCTGATCAGATTGAAGTACCCCACTTGAGTATCAGGTAGATTCTGGCAAGTAAGTATCCTGAGCAAGTACCCAAAATCATACCCACTGTGAAAGGTCACCCAATGCACATTATCGTTCAGCACAATCCCCGAAGACATAAGTAGCTCGCTAAATCGATGAGCATCGATGCCCTTTTCATTGTTCTTCTTAAAATCAATACCACTCTGGCATAAGAGCTCGACCGAGTCATTGGCATAGACATCCTCATTGGGATTGAATTCGCAGAAATTGAATTGCCAAACACACAATTTGTCAGTTCCACAGGTGGGAAGATTACCATTTTCATCAGAAAATGTAAGACCCAACTGAATTAACTTCAAAAGATCAACATTGGCCTTCAAAGTATGAAAATTGTATTCATTGGCGCTCTTGAAATTTCCTATGGGCCTAAGGACAATACCCGGAAACTCGGTATCCATAGCTATGTAAGGGTAATCATCTATGATATCGCTAATCAAAGCAAACTCATCTTCAAGATTATCATTCCAGACTTCCCTGATCTGAATCGACTCGCTCTTGGGCATAATCGACATTTTTGGACAAATTTGAACCTAACAACATATGACCATAAAAACCCAATTCGAAAACAGATCATAAGCAACCCAAAAATCCTAAATCTGCAACCCAAAACACCAAACCAACCCAAAATCAGCAGAGAGTTACAAGCAATACCAGATCAAACAAAAACATCAAAGTTCATGCAATCAATACAGAAATGAACACGAAGGTTTCTAGATCTGACCTGAAACTGTGAAGGCTCCAAAAATTTGAACTAATGAACAGTGGATTGTGCAGCAAATCTAAGGATTTTTGGGATAAACAGTGAAGGATTTAAAGGCTAGGGTTTTACAGAGCTACAGAAATAGAACAGAGAGAAAATGGCAAAAAGTTTCGGATAAGCTGTTTCTGGGTCTGCCTGCGTTTACATTGTAACAGCTTGAGAAGCGAGGTCACAGGCAGGCAGAGGTAGAAGATGAGGAGTGGTGCCTTGTATATATAGACGATATATCTATCTCTCTATGTGCTTCGTATGGCAATGATGGCTTTTCATGGAACTTTGTCCTTTGAGACAACACGTGTAATAAGATTATAGGAGAACAGTGTTCTAACTCATTTGGGCTGGGTCATGTATGGGTTGGACTTTATTGTAATGGGTCACAAAGTGGATTGGCGATTTAGCAGTGCTCCGTTCCAAAAAAAAACAAAAATTGTATAACCAAACAAATTTACTTAAAAATTCAAAAAAAGAAATGTAATGTTAAAAATGATAAAATGAATTTTAAATTAGGTACACGTATTAATGCATTGGGAGCTACTACTTGACCAAATGAAGCAATTAGTTTAAGTGTAGATTTCCTAACATACCCATCTTCAACATTAAATTGAAACAACTTTTAAACGCATGTACCTCCCACTTTTGCCAAGGGCAGTGCATATGCATCAACAAGTGATAGTGGCAAGTCATAAAATGTGGAATGGCGAGGCTTCAACAGAGGACTGTATATAGCATGTAATGTTTTGAATACAAACTATTCACGTCATCAGTTTCTTCTGCATCCAAAAGTGAAGGCAGAGTGGACACCTCAATACCACCATTTCTGTCTATACATTTATTGTAAATTAGTAAGTAAGCTTTTAAGTAAATTGAAATAAACTTTAATGGATCATGACATGAATTCGAATCCCCTCTTGAGGGTATCTTATGCCTTGATTTTGTATTGCTATGTATTGTCAGTGTAACGTACTAAATCATTGTGTGATTTGTATATAAAATAAAAATTGGTGCTGGTGCATAAGCAATGTAATAGAATGAGAACAATCAAATGGCAGAGGAAAAAAATAAAGGATTCGAGTTTATGGAGCATGTAGCATGTAACCAATAAAAAAAAAAATTTTTAAAAAGAAAGAGAGGTAATTCTTATATCTGTCCTTTCTAGAGAGAGATGACATCTGTTTGTTTTTATTTATTACTATTATTATTATTTTTTATCTCTTCTATTTTCTGTTTCTTATTACTTACTAGTACTTTTTTACCTCTAGTTTGAAAAGGGCATAATTGCATTATCTTTTAATTAATAGGTTGGAGAGTTGCTGCACATTTGCTCACTTTTCAATCCAACTGGTTTGTGTCATTTTGACCTCTGTGTCAACAAGTTGGTCCAATGGTCATAGTTGCTCTATTACACTATAATATTGCCAGTTTGGACTTGAACTCATATGGAAGGCGAGATAACTATAGATCAATAATAAAAAATTGAACATTGCACACACAGGGCTTTCATAGCTCAGTTGGTTAGAGCACCCGTTTAGTAAGCGGGAGGTCTTGAGTTCGACTCTCAATGAAAGCACTTGTTAATTCTTTTTGCCTATTATACATTTCAGGGGAACTTCCTCCCAAGTCTGGTCCTCCATACCTTGTCAAAATTCATGGTCATGTGAACCCATGTTCAAATCTACAATGACATGGAAGAATGAAAGAGACACTTCTCTCTGACTAGTGACTGACTACTATTAAAACCAACAGAATCAATCACAATGAAAAACAAATGCACCTATTTTGCTTTCAGAATTCACATAAACACTCATGCCTTGTATAGAACCAGATGCCTCAGCAAAGAGAGAACAAATAAAACTGCATGTTGAGTTCCTGCATGACTGCATCAATATCTATATTTATATCTATACACTATTTTGGGTTTTTTCTTATTTCTAAACATTTTTTATATTTTGTAAAAAAGAGGACTATTAAATGTTTTTTTTGCACATTAAATGTTATAAATGCAATTTTTATGATTTTTAATTCAAGAAGTTGGATAGTCCAAAAGTTTTAAGAGTTATAGGGAGGCAGGATGTTCCACTAAAGTAGCTGACCACCAGAAGATAGGTCTTCATTGATCCAAGCGTGTAAAGCTCCGTGGTCCCATCGCATGAGTTACATTTCTTGAAATACTTACTTTAAAAAAAAAAAGAAAATTTAAAAATAATTATATGTATACATGGATTTTATGTGTTTGTATATGTGTGTGTATATAGACATATTATGTAAATGTACATCGATTTTATTTTTTACATTTTAGATCATTTTTTATATATAATCATGTTTTTTAACTTGGTTTTAAATATAAGAAGCTAGTTTAATTGTCCAACAGCTATGGCTGTTGTTCGATTTTCTTTGTTTATATATTTTTGTGCATGGTGTTGAAGAAGAACAGTTTGAAAACTTTTTTGAATTTTGGGTTATAATATGCTCTCATAGTTCATCTATCTTTCTTTCTTCCTCTCCCTAATGTACTTTTCTCTGAGAATAGAAGATATATGCCTTCTCTTCTTGGGTAAAATTATTTATTTTTCTATGCTGTTAATTATAGAAATTTTTTTAAAAAACTTTTTAAAATTTTTCTACTTAATTATACATATTTTAAAATATGTCAATTTTTTTAAACTATTAAATTTGACTGTTAATTTTATCAGACTAATTTCAAAAGAAAATAAAAATACTATTTATACTTTTTAAGAGTCTAAAATGCCCTTGTCTCTTTCGAAAATTCAACAGCCTCCGAAGTTCAGAAACTCCATTGTTTCAGGCGACGAATTCCAGCAGATAAAACGGTGAGTTGCACCGCCGCCGTCCTCATCAGAAACTCATCCATTCGTCACGCGGCTATATAACCCATTTTCTGAGTTGTCCTCAAAATTATCTCAGGCCAAAGACTTTCTTCAAATAGCCAAAAGGGATTTGAGATAAAGGTCAGAAACCCAAATCAGAGAATCATTTGGCCATTGAAACTGTGCTAAGTATTGATCAATTCATTGATTCAAAATTGTATGTAATTAATAGATTTGATGATACATTTCTCGCCATTTATAATCAATTGTTGCACAGAAGAATTTTTTTTTTTTTTTTTGTCTCACACAGAAGAAATGAAAGGAGGAGAAATTGAGGAGAAAATGGCGGCGGCGATCTGGCTCGGACGGTGAGTAGTAGTAGCAGCAAGAGGAGTTGGCGGTCGCAGAGTATCGGAGACGTATGGCAGGGGTAGCCAGATGTGTTCCAACAGAGCAGCCGACGGTAGGTGGGGAACGACGAGGAGCAGGATTTGGGTCTAATAGCGGCGTGACGAATGGATGAGTTTCCGATAAGGACAGCGGCGGTGCAACTCACTGTTTTATCTGCTGGAGTTTGTTGCCGAAAACAATGGAATTTCTGAACTTTGGAGGCTATCAGACTTTCAGAAGAGACCATGTCATTTTGGACCATTAAAAAGTCTAAATAATATTTTTGTATAACTTTATAATTAGTTTAATAAAATTGACAGTCAAACCAAATAATTTGAAAATTTTTACATATTTTATTTTAAAATATGCATGACTAAGTAGAATTTTTTTAAAAAATTTCCTTAATTATATTTGATTTCTCCTTCTTTATATTAATTTTATTTCTCTCGTGCCTACCCTTCTCATATCTATATTTTAAAAATGAGATGGACAATGCTCTGGATGAAATCTCATATATTTTAGTTTTAAGATATTCATGTTTAATTCTACTTTATTAACTTAATTTGAATTAAGCAATTCTTATATTCTAATTTTTTTATATTATGAAGTCTTTTTTTTTTTTTTTTTTTGAAAGTATAATGTCTAAGGGAAATGGATATTTTCAAATATTAATAAAGAGTTTTTATCAAATGATCTTGATCCATGAAATCTCATATATTTTAGTTTTAAGATATTCATGTTTAATTCTACTTTATTAACTTAATTTGAATTAAGCAATTCTTATATTCTAATTTTTTTATATTATGAAGTCTTTTTTTTTTTTTTTTTTTTTTTTTGAAAGTATAATGTCTAAGGGAAATGGATATTTTCAAATATTAATAAAGAGTTTTTATCAAATGATCTTGATCCATCTCTAAAAGCTACTTTAATATAGGAAGAAAATAATGATATATTCATTAGAATTAATAAACTTACGTAGAGTCTTGAGTAAGCCTCAAAACCATCCACAAAGGGAAAGTTCTCCCTTATGATCACTTTAACTCATTCTTTCTCATTAGGTCACCACCTTCATCATGATAGTCTTGCCCATAGGAATCACCTCCATGAAAGACCATGTGGGAGTCTCGATTAAATGAGAACACAAAACTTTAAAATTATAAAGAGAAAAACTTTATGTATTTGCATACTAATGATGCACAAAAGTTTACTAATCAATACATAGTCACATGTATATATATATAGTCACAAGGTGTGTCAAAAGTAATTCTCAATCTCTACAATTAAAATAATATCTCCAATCTAATAAGCCTCCAATATCAAGTTAGGCTTTACCATTTTCTCGATTTCACTGAATTAATAATTAACCTAGTCCAACTACCATGTGTCAAATTCAATTAATTTAAAAATTAATTTTTATTCTACTAAAAGAAATTAATTGACCTCCAATCAAATAGTAAATAACCATTAAGTCAATGCTGCACTTTGATTTCTTTATGCATAATTAGATATCGGATAATTGAAACCATCAATCTCACCACATAATTAATATATTTATTTTGACTTCTTGATTATTTCTCGACTTGATCACAATAAAACATTTGTTTGAAATATCTAAAACTATTTTATCTAAAACACGTGAAAGTCTTCGAATTTATTTTGTATTAAACTATAATCAATACAAAATTAATACAAGTAGTAACGATGTAAATATTGAGAATATAACTTTTTAACTGTTAATTACATAATTATCCAAAATGCCGATCATTGGATCTTGAAGGTTCCGTCGAACAAATCAAAGTAATTACTATTTAATAAAAGAATTTATATTTCACCCATACTTGAGAGTCAAATGTTATGACGATGATATAGAGTAATTGCATACGATGACTCTCATAATATATCTCAATCTATCACGGATTTGGTTATAGTGTTAGTTAATTAAGAGTCCATCCTCAATTACTGACTACAAATTATTTATGATCACTGGTAATATTCTTGTATTGATCGCTACTAAATACATATGAATATC